CCGGATGAATAATTCACTTTGGTAGCCAGCATCTATGAATTTAAACACAATACTAGACTCTCGTCAAGATCTCATTAATTTACAGTTGAGCTAGCTAAAAGCAGCCGTAATTTTTATGTTAACTGTTTCTTTTCTCGTACTTCTCGCATGTGGAACTCTTTTCCAGCCAACTTTAATCTGAAAAAAATTTAAATTCAATGTCAGTCGCTATCTACTGTCCTCATGATTACTCTTTTTTATCCGTGCTCATTAATGATTCTGTTCCTAATTCTTCCACTGTGTGTAACCCATTGACTTATACTGGTTTTACTACTTTTGTTTGAGGTGATACCGATTAGAAAATCTTAGAACCACATCGTTTTCGCCTCAAGGTTGTCTTTTTCATTTGTGATGAAATCGTCCATCATTTACTGCTATTTAAGTAATTAGCGGGTTTTTTTTGTCTTTGTTGTTATTGTTAATTTCATTATTGTTGTGTCGACAATAATTTGTTTTATTAATTTGGGCTGAAGTTACTTTATTCATTTTTGTGAAGAAGCGATAAGCAAATTGATTTCAGATTCTCAGTGTTGATTTGCAATAATCCTTCTCGCAATAGACCAATTCATGCTGCCAATGACATGTAAAGGTAGATCATGTTTCACTATACTGAGAAGGATTTGACAACATCAAAACCAGCAATTGTCTCGTGAAATGCGAGAAAGGATGTATTACGTAGCCTTGAATATACGGGGTAAGTCAAAAAAGGTAAGGATAGTTTTCAAAAGTATAATTACGCATGAACACAATATTTCTTAGTTATTTAATTGTTACATATGCTGTTAAAAAACTTTTTCACAACACATTCCATTTGTGTGCCTGCATGATTCCTAAACACATCGGGAAGTTTCCTCTGGTATGTTAATGCATTCATATTTTCTTTATTTCTTTAAGTTCCTCAAAATTTCCATAGTGAATCTTTTAAATAACTGATTTCAAATGGTTCCACAGAAACAAATCCAAGGGTGTGATCTCTGGGGACATCGATGGTCACTCAACAGGACCGCTTCGACCAATCTATTGACACCTATGATGCGCGAATTTTGCCTCAGCCTGTATATTTGGCCAAGAAAAATTTTATTTGAAAGGTTATCATTCCAAATATTTTCAGGCGAATTAAAACATACTTGTGTTTTTATTTGTTATGAATGTTTTATTTTATTAGATTCTTGTCCAGTATCTCCTTCATCAGTATTCAGGTGCACAGAGCTGGAACAAAGTGTGTCTTGTCTTATTTGAATCATAGTATTTCTTGCAATCATCGTCTAAAGGTTATTGGCGTGGAATTCGGAACGGCGAGACAATTTAAAATTCCATCCTAGTATTTTCTATTCAGCTTCGATTTAATACACGAAAAAGTCACGAATCATTCTCTTCACCTCTAGCTATATTTTGAGTGGTTGAGTAGACTAAACTCTCGAGCCTTAGTTGTTAAACAGACACATAATAACGGGGAATCAGTGAAAGGTAAATAAAAATTCTGTTTTTCCCATGAAAACCTAGTCATTCAGAGATAATAAAGTATAGTATTTTGTAGTTTTTACCATAATCTTTTCTATCTTGAGGTGGTATTAAAACAATTGCTACATTAATATAAAGCTGTGTAACACGACGAAGACAATGAATGCGAAGTTGTAGATTATCAAGAGGCTTAACGGATTCATCTAATCCCATTCACTGAAGCAATATTTTCCCCTGCTATAGTAATTCATTAAATCGGAATACCACTCTCATTCATTATCAGACATATTCAAATGAAAACGTAGCCGAATGCTTAAACAGCTAGCCTTCGACGCTGGGACCCGTGTTCGATACTCACCATGGTCGACTGATCAGTTTTTTTTATATTATCGTCAACAGGAGACAATTACAACATGCAGAACCGTTGAGGAGTACAGGAAAATGATAAGAAAGTTTGACTTTCGTTGTAGTCGTAAATCTTCGGAAACATTCGATGGTCAAGCTAACAAAAAATCGTAAGCCATCGTGACCGAGTATTTGAACATAATTTCTTTGATTATAGCAGGAAGATAATGCGTTCACTTCCGGAAACTGTACCTGTTACTGTCATTATAAACAAACACTTGTCATTCGTGGGGTAGAAGAAACAAAAATTTGCCTGAGCTGGCGTCTTCAATGACCCTAGTAGATGAATAAATTAGGAAAAATAAGCCTATCATCTTGATTTGATAAATGCAAATATTTCTAGAACTCTCTTTTGAAAATTATATATTTGGAAACCAACGTATATAAAAAGAGTATTAACTCGGACAATTTTCGATAGCAAATAAGTAACAGTTGCAGAAATAATATGAAATATCATTGCTCCTATATGCTGGCAATAATTTTCTTAGTGAGGAAATTGAGAGTTTACACAATGTGTCATATTTAATGGAAGTCAGTTATCTACTGTCAATTCCGCTCACCAAGTTCTCCACTGTCTTAACCAGGTATTGAACTCACCCTCTTTGGGTCCTGTCACTGGATCTAACCAACGCCTTTATCCACTCTGCGATGTGTACCCAATGGAACTAGAACAGGCTACCCCAGTGAGCGAAATAAAGTGTTCAGTTCGACATTCCAACCACCTGAAGAAGGCCCAAACGTTGTAATAAATATGGCGACAAAGATGAGAAAAATAGTCCGAATAATGTAAATAGTATTAAGCAGTTCAATCTAGAATTAACTGTTATCTTCCCATGCAATATATATATATATATATATATATATATATATATATATATATATATATATATATATATATATATATATATAAAAACCCCCCTTAACGTAACCCTATACCATGAGTAGCCTCATTACTTTAAAAAGAAGTAATAAAGACACATGGACTCCAAGATTACAAAAGGAATTTAAAAATATATATAAATCCATCCTCTTCAAAGTCAGATAACGCAGCCGTTGATACAGAAAATAAGATTCTGTACTCGTCGTCACTAATATCCCATCTCCATCAAACCGAATATAATTGAGATTAAAGGCTTATTAAGCAACGGAAACCCAAAATAAAAATATAATGTCACAGCAAATGTCATTTATTAAGTCCAGCTGAGTTTATTACTAGGCTTCAAGTATTCGACACGTAAGTACTCACCACTCACTCGTCAAACAGACCAGCTGGCTAAACATTAATCCACTCAGGGTTGTCCAAACATTTACTAAACTTAAACGTTATTTGATACTAGATATAAATGTGGGCACCGGATGAAAACCGAACTCTATGTTCAGGTATAATAATAAGGAAAAAGGCTAATTAGACGTTTCCCTATAAGGAAACATACGCCAGCCATTGACCGAACAACCAATGTTGCTGTCGGTTGACAGTTATAAACATCTTTTCTTAAAAATTTTTTCAGGAAAATAGGTTTCGCTACACTTAATAACTCTTATTGCTCTTTACAGGTCTCACAATTCCAGTAACTGTTCATGCTCTTTCTAGGTCTTGCAACTCTAGTAACTGTTAATGCTCTTTCTAGGTTTTGCAACTCCAGTAACTGTTAATGCTCTTTCTAGGTCTTGCAACTCCAGTAACTGTTAATGCTCTTTCTAGGTCTTGCAACTCCAGTAACTGTTAATGCTCTTTCTAGGTCTTGCAACTCCAGTAACTGTTAATGCTCTTACTAGGTCTTGCAACTCCACTAACTGTTAATGCTCTTTCAAGGCCTCACAATTCCAGTAACGGTTCATGCTCTTTCTAAGTCTCCCATTTCCAGTAACTGTTAATGCTCATTCCAGGTCTCACAATTCCAGTAACTGTTCATGCTCTTTCTAGGTCTTGAAACTCCTGTAACTGTTAACGTTCATTCCATATCTCGAAACTCCGGTAACTGTTAACGTTCATTCCATATCTCGAAACTCCAGTAACTGTTAACGTTCATTCCATATCTCGAAACTCCAGTAACTGTTAATGCTCCTTCCAGGTGTGGCAACTCCAATAACTGCTAATGTTCTGTCCAGTATTGAGGGATTTCCTTTTTCGCATTTTCTTTTGGCAATTAGAAAATGTCAGCATCTTGAAAACGTCAACATTTTCTCTTCGTCTTACGGATACTATTCATCATGATCAACAAGGGCTGCTTGTTGACCTTTATACCATGACAAAGCTGTTGTCTAAATTGTCAAATCACGTTTTACGAAGTACAGGCTTGCATTTATGCAGTTATATTTGATACGTTGTCAAAATCGCAACTTTCGAGTCAGCTACTCAAGGCAACTTCATCGTATGCATTTCCTTTTTAAAGGAAGAAGAGGAAGTCTAAATCGTTGGAGCTGTACGCTCCTTTCATAAAAGAACCCAGCGGTATGCCATTTCTTTTAAGCAAACGTTCACAATTGTCTTTTTTTTTTAAAGAAGGTTATTTCTCACGTTTCATCTCCAATCCCAACAGAAAGTTCAGATATAGTGAGTCCAGTAGAATCTCTATAAATGAGAATTTTTTGACCCTGAAAATATTGCGAATTCCTCTCAACTTGAGTGATTCCTCGCGCTTGTCTCGAGGCAACCTCGGTCACAAAGTTCGATTATAATTCTTCTTACAATCGAACCGTTCGAATACGTCGTCACTAATATCCCATCTCCATCAAACCGAATATAATACTTTCCTCGTCAGCCGTCATCTTTTCATGGGACTAATCAATATCAGGCAAATAAATCTCATGTGATACCGACAGCAGTTTTAGGTGTACGCATTTTATCTTCTTCGGCGGTCTTCGCCTGATTAGACGCTTGCAAAATTCTGTAAAGAAATCCTGCTATCTTTTTCTTGAAAGATCTGTTATATTGTTACCTCTAGATTTGGTCTATGACGAAAGATTGATGACTATCCCCATACTGTCTTTCGTTTCGGCATTGCCTAACTAAATTCACAAGTATGAAATCAACACATAATCTGCCTTGTTCTGTAAGTTTTGCTCCACCAGTTGACTTTGAACAATGCTTGCAGTTATCGCATTGGAAAGGTGAACGAGAGAGTAATTACTTGGAGTCTGAAAAGGACAAAGACATAAAGTTTAAAAGTACATACTTCCGGCCTAGTCATTAAAGAACTTCTTTGTTTTTTTTTATCCAATGAGAAAGAAACTCTCTTTCTTTTTTTCTCTCTAATGCGAGAGTGAGAAAGAAAGAGAGAAAGAAAGAGAAAGAGAGAGAGAGAGAGAGAGAAATAGTGAAAGAAAGACAGAAAGAGAGAAAAAAGATTCAGAAAGGGAAAGAGAGAGATTAAGAGAGAAAAAAAGAAAGTGAAAGAGAGAGAGAGAAATGGAGAAAGAAAGAGGAAAGGAGATAAAGAAAGAAAGAAAGAGAGAGAGAAATAGTGAAAGGAATAGAAAGAAAGACAGAAAAAGGGGGAAAGAAAGAGACAGAAAGAGAAAGAGAGATATTTAGAGAGAAAGAAAAACAAAGTAAAAGAAAGAGAGAATGACATAGAACTGAAGAGTAATAAAGAAAGAAAGAGGAACAGTGAGAGGAATAATGAAAGAAAGAGAAAGAAAGAAAGAAAGAAAGAGACAGTACGAGAAAGAGAGAGATTAAGAGAGAATGAAAAAGAAATAAAGTGAAAGAAAAAAAGGGATAAAGAAAGAGAGAAAGAAAAAAAGAAACAAGGCGAGAAATAGTCAAAGAAAGACAAAGAACGATAGAGAGAAAGAAAAGACAGAAAGAAAAAAAGCGAGATTAAGAGAGAAATGAAGATAGAGAGATTGCAACACAGCTATGAATTAGAGAATTATACAAAGTGAAATTGCAAGGTAAATATTAATTCCAATAATTAGGTTGTGTCATGTGTAACTTTTTTTGAGGGGGGTAATCAATTGTAATAGTGAACGTACCAACCTAATATTAGTCATATGATGCATTTAAAATTACTTTGTGAATGATTGATTAATTAATCTTCTAGTGCGTGTCAAATCATTGTAGGGTATTTAAAGTCAGAAAACACTTTTAGATTCTTTATGGAGATAATAATTATTGTGATACAAGTCTTACTAATTAACCCCTACCTAAAGGCAGACTAGCTGAATTCACACCTTGCAAGTAAGTGAATATAACGAACCCAAGCGAAACTTGAACTCATTTCTTCCTTACACAATTCCGAGTCATTATCCATTAGATCATCCCCACATCCATGTTTACAGCGCCTGATATTTTCCAAGCCGTCAATCATCAAGGTAGAGACCAGACTCGCCGTTGCTTAACTTCGGTGATCGTACGGCACCGAGTGTTTTAATTTGATATAGCTCAAAACCAAAAACGCATTTGAGTAAACTAATGCACGACAATGTTCAACGCAAAAGACTGACTCTAAAATCTCTAAAACGGCTACAAAAGCTAAGGTACATTAAAGAAAAAAAAATACTGTTTCTTAAAAACGGGATGAAACGCTAACCGCTAAAACGTCCAGTGGCTGCAACGGGTCCATAAACCTTTTGGTCGTAAAATGCCTTAAGCTCGTCAATATGTTGTTAGTCTCTATAATAACCCCGAGACGAATAAAGCAAGGATAAAACAGGGGAAAATGGGAACTTATATGTGTTGTTCTAAGCCTTCTATATTTAACTCACCTTGCACCAAACGATTTTTAACTTTTTCGAAGGCTGTAAGACTTGGGAAGGAAAAGTTCTAATAAAAACCCTTTTCAAGTGTTCACTCCAAATATTTTCGCATCAAAACCTGCGTAATTTTGATAAAAACAGATGTCATTGAGGTATCTGATAAGTGGTTACATGTTATTGAAAATAAATAAATATATAATTGAATAAAATATACTTTATTTTTTGAAGAATGTATTTCATAAAAAACAAATTATGTATGATACAACCTAATAAAGTCTTCTACATTTCAATATACCTGGACATTTATCCTAATCTAAGCTATAAAATAAATTCTAACCTGTTATTTAATCCATAGATGTTGGAGAAGATAGCAACAAGATATGCGGGAATTTTGATTCCGCTTGAGATTTTGCTTAGTAATAACATGAGTTAGTAAATTTTCTGCCCGGTTCATTTTCTTCGCAACATATGAAGACACATTGAAGGCCTTCATTAGATTTATTTGGAGGTATGGGCCGTTACCATACAGAACTGGCCAAATTGCATTTTTGGAGTGGCGGATAGAAAACACTTGAGGGATTCTGTCTCTCTTCGATTAATGATCGCTCGAGTTTATTTGTGTGAAAGAGAATGTGATGAATCCCACTATTATCCGAAATCTGCTCTCCGTTTTCTCATTCCGAGCCGTTTTCGATTTAAGCTTACACAACCTGGGATTAGCAAACTTGAAGTAGCTTAATTTCGGTGATCCCACGGGAAAAGGTGTTTCAACGCGTTATGCAGGTAAATCGGGAGCATTGACAGCAACATAAAACGAGCGCTAATGTTGTCGGGAATTATTAACGAGAAATGTAATGATGGAAGAGAAATCAGCGTGTCAACATGAAGAACCTGATTTTGAATTCATTTCACCTGTTCTAATTTGATTGAAGAAAGAAAATCCGTGGGTAGAGTGTGTATATCGTTTTCTAAAGCGGAAGAGAATGTCCATGATCATCGGAAGTAGTTCAAAATGTGGCAAACCGGAAATGAGACCTGTAAATTTACACCTTGTTAACGATGGACATTTAACATTGATTTTGTTCAACTGGAGATATTATTGTGGAGCGTTAACAGAGTTTGATATTAATATTTTTACAAACAATTAAACATGATATTTGCAGATACAATAATATACATAATATAGTAAGCGTCCTGGGTAAGACGATAAACTGATCAGGAGGTTTTGAGGCCTGACCTGGATTGGTAGCACCTGTTAAGGTCCCAGCTATGGGCAAATAGTTGACCCCTAAACTTGAGTAAAAACATGGAAATGTAAAAATAGGTTTTAATAGCATTCTGGTAAAAAGAAATATTCCAAGCAATACTTTAAAAAAAAACATTACCAGCAACACATTTTTGGAAAAAATATTAACAGCTATAAAGTTTGGGAAAAATATTAGTAGCAATAAATTTTTGAAGAAAAATTATTTGCATCAATAATAACTGTGTTGGCATTGAATAACCCATTGAGATTGATATGCCGTAAAACGAACCAAACCAAACCTAAAAAATCTTGTCGACATTAAATAACCCATTGAGGTTGATATGCCGTAAAAAAAATAAATAAACCAAACCTAAAAATTCTGTCGGCATTGAATAACCCATTGGGGTTGATATACCGTGAAAAAAAAATCTAAAAATCTTGTCGGCATTGAATAAAACATTGAGGTTGATATGCCGTAAAACAAAATAAACCAAACCTAAAAATCTTGTCGGCATTTGGGTTGATATGCCGTAAAACAAAATAAACAAAACCTAAAAATATTGTCGGCATTGAATAACCCATTGAGGTTGATATACTGTAAAACAAAACAAGACAAACCAAACCTAATATAGTAATATTTTTAAAAATGGAGGAAAAGTTAAATCAAACATTTCGCTTTCATAACAAAAGAAACAATCCAATATTAAACATTCCATGTTGTATTTAAATGGTATATCCCGTATGGACAGTAAGTTATCTTCTAAAATCATCGAGACGAAGGTGTTCATGCATCTTCACGGCTTCCCTATTCTTTCAATATCTGGTAATTGTGCTGAAATCTTGGGAAATATAATGTAATCATCAATAATTTTCTTCTTCTCAACATTTTACATAGATATTTTCCGCGACTGGTAAGTGCTCAAGACATAAATCTGCAGTAATATTTAAACAATAACTGTGGGAGAAAACCGAATAATCAGAGCGAAGGGAGCAGGATAATCACACAGCTATTGTGAACTTGTCGATTTTAATTCCTGCCCCAATAACCGTTAGGCTACAAATGCAAACTTTAATGATACCCGACTCCTAATCGCAAAAAATATAAAAACAGAGCAAATTTGAATTATATTTCAGTAGTACCATTATCTCATAAGAATTACCTCAATTCTTCACTAAGATTCATTTCTGTTTGATCTTAAAGAAAAAGCATACTGACAAAATAGCATCAACTAAATATATGCCAAATGTTGGTAAATTCAATCGTGAAATAAAAACGACTATTTAACTTAATGCAACGTAAGCAAGCATTAGATTCGATTTAACGTCAGACAAGAGATATAACATTTTCAAAATCTTACAAAATTAATTCTAGGTCAAATGCAGTTTTTGATTATGTACATTAGTAAGAATGTTTTCTCGATGTATGTAATTAAATCGATTGTGAAATCTTAACCGCAATAACAGGAGATACAGTGTTTTTGAACGTTAATCGTTACATCATTTTGTACTACAGGGAAGGTGCTCAAGGGTCACAGCATTAGTCCTACGCTGTTTTTAGTCTTCATTAACAGCCTTTTCCCTTGACATCAGCTCTCAACTTACCACCTACGCTGAAGACACTACCATTTACTTATACCTCGATAGTAAGGCTGGTCAGTCGGACAAGGACGAAATGGCAGTCGCGTACAAAACGACTTTAAGACTGTCACTAAGTGGGACAAAAGATGGCTTGTCAATTTTAACACTTCCGAAACTAAACTGATCTCCATTAATCATTTAAGAGTCTCCTCTTTGACTTCCATCAGCATGGCTAATGCTGCCCTCCAAGAAAATGAATAATTACACCTTCTCGGGCTAAACTCTCAGCTGACACGATGTGAAAGGACTACATTGAACTTATCGCTTGGTCAGCTGCTAAAAAAGTCGGTTCACTGTGACGGGCGCGACAATTTTTCTCTCCGGAGTCTATTTGGCATAGCTATAAGTCTACTATTCGTCATTGCTTAGAATATTGCTCTTATTTCACTGGAGCATCTTGATAAGATCGAATGAAGAATCAGCAATGTTGTTGGTTTTCTTCTGACGACTCCGATTCAGTCACCTGCCCACAGCCGTAAAATTGTTTCTTTATGCATTTTTTGTAAATACTTTCAGGGAGATCTCATCAATTTACTGTTGAGCCAGCGAAAGGTAGCCGTAACGTTGTGGTAACAGTTTCTTATACCGCAATTCACGCGTGTGTACCTCACTGCCGGCTCCAGGTTTTAAAATTTAATCTGCAAAAAATTAAATGCATTGTCAATCGTTATCTGCTATACTCCTAATTTCTCTTTCTCATAATTACTAATGCTTCTGTTTCTAATTACTCCATTCAACACTCTGTAACCATTTGTGTGCTAGTAACTGTACTGTTTTGTTTGGGGTGATACCGATTTAAAAAAAAATCTTATTAAATTAGCTAGTTTACGCTTATTAAGACAACACTGAGCAATATAGTTAAGTGGTCATCCGTAGGAACAAAATTATGCTGGAGTTATTCGTCAGAAGAAGATGTTTTGATAAAAGTCCCTTTGGCGTTTTTACAAGAGAATTTTGTATTTTATGTATTTCACCAGAAGACGTCATTAA